GAACAAAACGACAGCAACTTGTCTGTTCCCCTTCCCCCAACTCCCCAGCACTGTTCCCATCCCCCCAATTCCCCAATAAAAATCTTTAAAAAAAAAGAAAAGAAGTCAGTCTCATCCCAGGCCTGGGACTTCTTCCTTCCACTCACCTCCCTGACAAAGATACTGTTTAGCTGGTCCTGGCTCCAACTCTGGCTTTGACTGCACTTGATCCTCCTTCCTTCACGCCACCCAAGTGCCCACCAGTGCCAGGCCCTGGCTACGATGGTGACTGAGGCCCACTGGATGCTGCCTTTACAAAGCAGAAAACTATAACAATACAGTGCGATGAATCTTCTCCAGGGGAAGCTTTGTGTCTTTTTTTCCAGTTCCACTCCCTTCTGAGGTCCCCCATGGACAGTGTTCAGAATGGTTTCCCTGGCCCTGTTTTTCTTCTGCTGCCCTGCCTCTCTGGGGAATCAGAGCCCAGCCCCCAGTCCTCCCAGAGCTGCTGAAGTGATGACCCTATCCCAGCCAGGCCAGTGTGTTCAGGGGACTGCCTCCCCTGTCGTGACAAACACTGCCCAGATCACAGCCATGGCAGGCACCTTGGCCCTTACCTTCTACCTAGGCCTTGCCCCGCAGGGATGGTCCTGAAACAAAGGACTGAGAAACAGCCTTTCCCCCAAAGCCTGCTCTGATGCAGGTCTGCAGGGCCAGGGTTTTCTGCTTGGCTGGGCTGTAGCTGCTGCCAGGTCGGGGCTGAGTCAGCTAGGTCCCTACTCCATCTCATCCCACCCCTCCCCAGGGACCAAGAACTGCTCAGGAATACTTAAAATGTCAAAAATCCAGCTCCAACTCATTTATCCTTCCCCCAGGCCCAGGAAGAGAGGCATCTCATTCCAGAACATGTGAGGTGGAAAGGATCTCAGAACATTATTTAATCCAGTGTTTCCTTTGTCGAACCACGATCAGACAAGTTGGGGCATTGCTGATCTAGCCCTTCATAGAGGGGCTTGCTCAAGGTCACCGGAGAGTTGGATGCAGTGGCTGGAGTAGAGCCCAGGCCTGAGACCAGCCCAGAGCCAATTCCCTCCCCTCCCTCCTGCCTCATGCAGTGAGTCAGTGGAGGGCCCTCTCCTTGCTTGTCTCCCAGTGACAGAGGGGACAGTGAGATGGGAATCTGGAAACAGGCCCTGGCTGCAGAGGCTACAATCGACCCTAGTTTGCCCTAGGCCACTCCCATTTTATTTGCATGATTTCCAGCCAGAAAACTGGCTAGCAGGGCTGGTGAGAGAGAATGAAGGTAGAAATGGCAGTAGGGGGCCAAGCCCTGTGATGAATTCTGGGTTGAAGAGTTAAATACCACCTCTCATAAAAGCCAGTGCCTTAATATTGAATCTGGTTCTGCCGTTCAACTTCGGGTCCTGGCTTTCTTTACAACCTAGAAACGACCTCCTTATTCTCTGGGAAGCTGGAGCCCCTGGACCATATGGGGAGTCGGGCCCATCTCCAGGTTGCTGTTGCCTTACAGATGCATGAGGGGTGGTCTCAGCACACGGCCCTGCTGAAATCCTAGCCATGAGAGGTGCTGAAGGGCTGAGTGATAACAAAAACGGATTCTGCTTGGGCTGTTGTAGCCAGAAAGACCAGTCAGTATACACGTAGGTGCCTTCAGGAAGCGAATCTCTGACCCTCAGTAACGAGCAGCCAAGGCTCTGCTCTGAGCCTCTGCTTGGCTTGATGCAAGTCTGCCAGCTCTTCACCTTCCGGCAGCTCAGAAGACAACAGGCAGTCAGATGAGGTCTGGGCTGGCCATGCCCAGTACCAACCCCATGGCAGCTCAAAGGCTCTGCCAGCCCAGTAGCTGACTGTCTGACCTATGGTGGGCAGACTGGGAACAGGAATATAGAGGGCCCCACAGCCCAAAACTCTGGGGGCCAGAAGGTTCATTTCAGTGTGTTTATACTGCTTTATTTATTATGATTGGCACTGCTAAGCCCAGGGGGTTGATTCCACCTAGAGTCAATACCAACCTCCCTCCACTCCCCAACCCTTCCTCCCCTCAAAGTATTCATCGTTAAGGAATGACTGGGGGCTGCACACCACAAACTGCGCACTGTGAGCTGTGTAGTTTGGGTTGGAAGCAGAGACGCCAGCCCTCACGCTTTCCTGAGGCATCACTTCCAGCAGAACCTCTCCTCTCCCCTGGAGGGTTCAGTGTGATTGATGGCATAAAGTGTAAACAGACCCCTGTTCCAAATGGCTCCCCCACTGCCTGCCCTGGAGTCAGACGGTCTGGGTTACAGTGATAGATCCTCGAGTCTTAGGCTGACACAGCTCTGGATGAGGTGGGGACCACCTTATCCAAGGTGAACGCTGCCTTTGAGGGGAGCTGCTGGTGCTGCTGTGGGTGGGGTCCAAGGTGTATACTTCCAGTTGGTTAGTGCTCATTTCGCTCCTCTTGCCCTCTGTCCTCTGATCCAGGCAGATCAGGGGCTCTGGGGAAGCTACAGGAATTCAGGGTGAGGATTAGTTTTCTCCAGCATCCTGTGAGAGAGACCAGAGAGAGGGTTCAGGTTCGGGTGGGGGGGACCGTGAACTCCTGAAGAAGTGACACAGGCTTTATTGGATGGGCTGGTACAGGTATCACCCTCCCCAAGCTAAAGATGGAAGACAATGTCCGGACAAGAGGGCTCTGGAAAGGCTATGGGGGAAGAAGTCAGTGGGGCAGGCTAGCCTGGGGCCCAGCCACAACTAGCTGAGGAAGCTCTCTGCGCTTCCCTTTAGCACATCTCTGTCACCATAGTTCCACCTGTAAAATGCGAATAGAGTGGGGCAACGGGAAGAGAACACAGCCTTGCCAAGAAGCAATGTTAGCCTGACCCTTCCCTTACTGCCCGTCTGCCCTGCTCTTGGGAAACGGCTCGCAGAGGGTTAGGCAGCCAGCTACAAGGGAAGAATCAGGCTGGGACTGAGATACCCACAGGGAAAGGGTTCCAGGAACAAGGCAGCCATTTCTGGTTGGGAGAAGGAGGGAGAGGAAACCTTTGGGATAAAGGGCCTATGAGCATGGGTCAGAGTCCTGTGTTACCCAATCAGAATGGCCGGGATGAAGAGGAGGCCAGCTCCCAAGAGGAAAGGGAACCCCTTCATGAAGTTCAGGGTGGCTGGGTAGAGCGAGTTGAAGATGCCAGAAGCCGTCATCATGGCTAAGCCATTCACACAGGCCACAGCAGAAAAGAGAGCACCTGTGAAGAAATAAATATCACACTGTGGAGTCTGAAAGTCGTAGGTTCAAATCCCAGGATCACTACCTTGCAGCTGTGTAACCTCGGGCAAGTCGTTTAATCTGAGTCTCAGCTTCCTCACCTATAAATCCTACATCATGTGCTAAGGACTCAATGGGGTCATGGATGGAAAGCACCTGGCACACGGGGGGCTATGAAATAAATGGCTGTTTTCAAACCCACATATTAAAAGTACATGTGCTGGGCCAGCTGAGTGGGGCAGTTGTTAGAGCGTGTGCTCTGAGCAGCAGGGTAGCTGGTTTGATTCCCACATGGGCCAGTGAGCTGCGCCCGAGCTGAGCTGCCGCTGAGCTGCCAATAGGCAGCCAGATGGCTCAGCTGGTGAGACCGTGTGTTCTTAACAACAAGGCTGCCAGTTCAACTCCTGGCTCAACTCCCGCATGGAATGATGGGCTGCAGCCCTCCCCACCCCACCCCACCCCCGCCCGCAACTAGATTGAAAGCTGCAACTAGACTTGGAGCTGAGCTTGTGCCTCCACAACTAAGATTGAAAGACAACANTAATATTTATTGTCAATTACTATATGGCAGGTCCTGAATTGAGTTTTTAACAGATATTACCTCATTAATCTCTACATCCATTCAATGCAGTGGGCATTCGCTTTTTAAAATCAACTTTAAAAAAACTTCTTAAAGAATATAAAAGAGGTATAATTTAACTTTAAAAGTGTCCAGTTTGAAGAGCTTGGGAAAATGCTTACCCCTGTGTAACTACCATCGTAACCAAAGATAAAGAACATTTCCATCAAGGGTGTTTATTTTAAAGATGCTGAAACTAAGATTTAAAGCATTTAAATACATTTCCCAGAGTCATAAAAGCCATTAAATAACAGAGCTGGAGTTTGAGCCTGTCTTTCTGCTTGATCAACAGACAGATGTTGTCTGTGAGTATTACATCTGAATGTTCTGAGAAGATAGACTCTTTTCACTCATCCATTCACTCAGCAAGCACATACTAAGCTCCTATCAAGGACAAGGGCTTGGGATTTGGCCCCATGCTTTTGTTTCAACCAAATCAGGTTCAGCTTGTATCGTTTTTACATTGCAGCTCCCAAGAAACCCCCAAGATTTCATTTTTTAAAAACAGGAGGGCCCTATGGCAAACATAGCTTAACAAATCCCTTCTACAGGAAGTAGGGAGCAATAAATGATTTTAAGTGGGGACAATGACATGCTCAGACTTGAATTTTAGAAAGATCCTTCTGGTAGCTGCGCAAACAGGTTAGACTGGGCAAGTGTGGATTTGGGGAGATCACTGAGGAAGCTGGAGTTGGGGGCCTGGACATAGGGAGGACCCTGGGGCTGGAGTCCAGATGTCTAGTAGGAAGACTGTACAGAGCATGGTGTCTGGCGCTGAGCACTGAATATCAGCTCCATGAGGGCAGGGTTTTATTATGTTCACTGCTGTATCCCAAGCACTAAGAATAGTGCCTGGCACCTAGTAAGTGCTTAGTTAATACAGTTGAATGAATAAATGAGGCAGGAGTTGAGGCTGACACCCAGGTTTCTGGCTTTGGTGGGAAACTAGGAAGAAGGGGGCCAGGGGAGAATTTGGGATGTGTTGGGTTTGGAGTGCCTGTGGGCACCTGGCTGTGCGGGTCTGGAGCTCCAGAGAGTGGGCAGGGCTGGAGGTGCATTTCACTGTCCTGAAAACACAATGCTTGCCTTCTGAGAAGGACTCACCAAGAGTTAGCATCCTTCTTTCCTGTAGGCCCCACCTTCTCTACCTCAGTGACCCTTTTTGCAGCAAGCCACCCTGCCTGGGCTGGGCTGAGAAGGCTGGGTGGGCAGGGGATGATGTACCTCGTGGTGATTGATGAGGAGGGGCCAGCATCACTAAGCTGTCTCTTGTCCCCCTCAGAAATGCTACACTCCCCAATGCCTGGCACTGGCAGCAAGCCAAGTGGGGACATTTCAAAGGTCTTCATCAGCTACCGAAGGAGCTCAGGCTCCCAGCTGGCCAGGTGAGGAGGAGTGGGCAGGCCGGCAGCCTGGGGCCTTGAGGTGAGGCCAAGGCAGTGACACACGACCTCTTCACAGCCTCCTGAAGGTGTACCTGCAGTTGCGTGACTTTAGTGTCTTCATTGATGTGGAGAAGCTGGAAGCGGGCAAGTTTGAGGACAAGCTCATCCAAAGTATCAAGGATGCCGAAAACTTTGTGCTGGTGCTGTCGGCTGGGGCACTGGACAAGTGCATGCAGGACCACGACTGCAAGGATTGGGTGCACAAGGTAGGTGCTGGGCTCTGGTCCCACTTTGGCCTGTGGCACAAGGGACAAGGTTTTTCTCCTATTCCTTCTTATCTGCACACCCCAGCAACCTCCATGGCCCAGCAGGAAGTTAGGAGTCACAGCTCTGACTGTAATAGGATTTTTTATTTTTTTAGAAGATTTTATTGAGGAACTGGGGAAGGGAAACAGCGCTGGGGAATCGGGGAAAGGGGAACAGACAAGTTGCTGTTGTTTTGTTCTTCAGTCTGGTTGTGGAGGATGTTGCTTCACTGGCCCAAGCTGACACCATCATTGCGTTCTTCCCGGGAGAGGCAGATCAGTCGCCGGCCTCTGGACGGACGCTCACGGCGGCTGCTGGACGCTCACGCTGGCTGCCNCTTCTAGCAAAAGCCTGAGAACAATGTTTATCCCCTTTGGAATCATCTCCTGCTTGAAATCAGTTAATTCCCAGTTCCAGTACTTATTAGCAGTGTGGTCACTGAACAAGTCACTTATCCTTCTGGGTTTCCATGTCCCTTCTGTTAAATAAGGATAATACTGATTTCATAGATTGGTAGAAACATTAAATTCACATGTAAAGCCCCTATCATAGGGTCTGGCCCCTGGAGGAGGCCAGTTAGTAAGGGCTGTTCTTTTCTCCTGTTCTTCCCGGTACCTCTGGCCACAGTGAAGGTGCTAGAAAAAAAGCTTCCTGAATGAATGAGTGAAAGCACCTGGGTTCTGAGGACAACAGGACCTGTAGTGGGCTACAAATGGCACCTCTGTCATCTCTGTCATCACCAGATCCTCCTTCCAGAGCACATGGGGAAAAGCGGATGAGCCAGATGTTTCCAGATTGGGGTCTCAAGATCCAGAGGCCTGAGAAGCTATTCTTTATAGATATTTCAGCAGAACTCAAATTTTACAGAATTAGCAACAACCCAACAGAAGTTGAGATTAAACTGTAAGACTGTCAAAGCTGGAAGGGCCTGTAGATGTCATCAAGAGCAAACCACTGTGACAGATGAGGAAACAGGCCCAGGGAGGGAAAGGGACCCGCCTAAGATCACAGAGCCAGTGGGTAACAGAGCCAAGACTAAAACCCAGATCCCAGGACCTGCTGCTCTTAAAGAGACCTGGGTTTGCATCCTAGCTCTGTCACTTACTGAGTGACCTTGGGTGAGTCAGTTTAGCCCTCTGGGCCTCTGCTTTCTCAACTGTCACCCAGGGATGATGAGCCCTACATCACAAGATGGTTCACTCCCTCTGAGCGTGCATGCTCTGACCCCTGTGAAGCAGGGAACTGTGGCACCATTGCACCCATTTTACAGATGGTAAATCTGGGGTCTGGACAGGGCACATCCTCTCCTTGGATTAGCCAAAAGAACAAAATCATGCTCTGCAGACTGCAAATTCCAACTCTGTTGTCTGAAAACCCAAGGCACTATGGTCCTCTGCCATCCTGGGCAATTTGTTCAGGCAACACTGGGCATGAGGAACCCGACGCTGGTGGACCCTGACACTCACCCTGCTCTGACTTCCTCACCAGCCTGGAGAGCTTGGCCCGGACAATGGGTGTGATGACTAATGACAGGAAGAGGAGCCCGTACCCTGTGGAGAAAGAAACAATCATCAGGAAAATGCAGTCAGGGAGAGGGGTGCCCAAGAGGGATGTAGCAGAGCTCCTACACATACCCTCAGTGGGACGCAGGTTAGACACAGGAAGAACTTCTTTGATGGTGCAAGAGACAATGACTAAGGAGGAATGGAGACTACCCTTCTCTTGCTTTGGCCTACTTGCTACCTCTTTTGTGAGTGAATGCTGATTCCCCACCAATGGCGTTCTTGTCAGAAGACCTCTTGTGCTTCCAGTAGGCATCACCCACATAGTAGGGAGATGGCAAGGCACAGAAAAAAAGAAGAAGAAAAAAAAGCATGGGCTTCAGATGTCGCCCAGAGTTCAAAACCTGATGCCACCGCTTACTAACCGTGTGGCCTTGAGCCTGGCTCCTATCTGTAAGAGGATAATGAGGCCTTGACCACAGGATGGTTCTGGGATGTGGTAGGCTAAATAATGCCTCCCCACCCCCACCGCCGTGATATCTGGTCCTAATCCTTGGAACCTGTAAATGTTGCCTTATTTGGAAAATGGGTCTTATAGATGTGATCAAATTAAGGATTCTGAGATAGAGAGATTATCCTGGGTTATCAGGTTGGGCTCTAAATGCAATCACATTATTCCTTATAAGAGGGAAGCAAAGGGAGATTTGACACAGAACAGAGGAGAAGGCACACAAAAGAGGAGGCAATGTGACCACAGAGGAAGAGATCAGAGTGATGCAGCCAGAAGCCAAGGAACGCCGGCAGCCTCCAGAAGCCAGAGAGACAAGGGACAGATTCCCAACTAGGACCTCTGAAGGACGCGTGGCCTTGCTGCTCCTTCATTGTGGCCCAGTGATAACAGGTTCTTGACTTCTTGCCTCCAGAACTGTGCAAGAATAAATTTCTGTTGTTCTCAGCTACCAAATGTGTGGCAGTTGGTTACAGCAGCCCTAGGAAATTAATACATCAGGTAACACCCATGAAGAGCATAGCATAGTAAGCATATGCTTGCATTTAGTTACTCACAGGCTTACACCGTTTCCTTCATAGCCACTTCTCTCCCTTGTGTGACTACTGCCTCCTCAGCAAAACTGCAAACACCTAGGAGATAGTGGATCCTCCAAAGTGGGTATATGATGAGGCACCCCAGAGCCCCTTCAGGTGTCAGGCCCCCAAATCCCACTCTGCTGAGGCTCCCCAGAGCAATGACAGTGTCTTCATCGTCTCTGTACCCCTGAGGGCTTTCAGCCCAGCACCGAGCCCAGGAGAGATGCTGTGGATGGGAGAGAAAAGCACCTGGTCTCTTTCAGACTCACTGTCCAGGCAAGTAGCCAACTTAATAATATCTGTGATTACTGAATGGCTGACTTTGTATGCAACACAGTTTAGGGCTTTTTCAAAATAAATCTGTCCCTTTAAAAAAGTTAACTTCCTCATTCCCAGCTGCCCCTTTCCCACAAAAAAACCCAAAAACAACTAACCCAAGCAGAAATTTAATATCTGTGGTGTCAGAAGACTGGCTTCTTTAAAAACCCAAAGAAGCTGACCAAGGTTATTTGAGGTAGGTCCTGTGACTCTTATCAGAGAAGTGAGTATTAATGCATTAATAGCATGGACTTTGTCTAAGAACACCATAAATATAGGCTGTGGGAGGCCAAGGAGTGAAGCAATTAGTGTTATGAGCCATACTTTCGTCTGTTGTTCTATCTTACTAACAATATTTACAATTGATAATGTAGATTAATTACTTTGGCTATTGAAGGTCTATATTTCTATGAGGTTTTTTAATGAGGTTTCTTAATTGCCTGTCTTCCAACGGAGGTTGGGAGCACAACGATGTGTCCAAAGACAGAGGCATGAACCACACTTAGGGGCAGCAAAGTGGCTGGCCCCAAGTTTCACCCAGTGCCTCTGGGACAAACTGTCCCTGAGCCCACACACATTACCTGTGAACATGAGGGGTGTGATGGTAGCGAACGCAAAGACCACCATCCCCAAGATGTTAAAGGCCAAGCCAATCTCGGCCACCCAGGCGTCAGCCAGGCAGGATTGCAGGAGCCGCAGGCCCAGCAGGCTGCTGAGGTACTGGAGGTGCCCAGCTGCAGAACCGTAGCCAATCAACTTGGAGTCCCAGCACAGGGGTTTGCTCAGCTCATAGATGGTCAGGATATCCTGGGCCCCAAAGTGCACAGTGATCACCACAAAGATGACCAGTGAGTACAGGGCTAAATGCTTCCTGGACTTCTCCGGGGCTGGAGCCATGTAGAGCTGGACAATGGATCGGTGGTGACGGAGCGTGAAGAGTCGGGCAGGTGTTGGCTCCTTCATCGTCTCCCCAAAGAAGAAAGCAGCGTAGAGAGTCATGGCTATCAGCAAGGCTAAGGCCAGCCAGAAGGGGTTGGCATAACCCTGGGCCTGGAGCCAGTGGCCCCCAAGGAGGCTCGCCAGCATCCCTGCCACCCCGATGCATGCTTCCAGCAGGGCCATTCGGATGGTTCGGCTGTTGTTGGAGCTGACATCTGCCACGGAGGCAAAGCTAGCAGCCAGGAGGCCACTGAAGTCGCCAAAGAGGGCACAAAGGATGCGGCCCAGAACGAAGTAGCCAACGTGTAGCTGCAACTGCACCACAAAGATGGACACCAGAGCCTGGAGCAACAGACCCAGAGAGGCCAGCACCAGCAGCGGGCGGCGGCCCACACAGTCACTCCAAGCACCCAGCAGGGTAGATGAGAAGAGGCCCACCAGGAAGCCGCCCAAGTTCATGTAGAGGGTCCAGTGGGAAGTAAGGGTCTCCACTTCCTGTGGGGGCATATTCTTACCAGAGTGCTTTTCCTCACTTTGGGTTGCCCCCCCCCCCCAAAACCAATACCATCCTGGGAGATACAAAATGAGCACTTTCTTTGGAGCCCTAAATCTCAGAAAATTTTAGTACAACTCTCAAAAACTGACACTGGAAGGAGAGTTATGGGAAATGGACCTAGGTCCCTTTCCTTTACTTTTACCTCCTTATGTCAACTCTCAAGGCTTGAGGAACTTGACGCATCGCCTATATTGCACTTCCCGGTCAGGCCCACCACCCAATCTCCATATCCCCGGCGGCCCCGCCCCCTCAGCTGCCCCCACGCTCTAGCCCCGGGCCCGCTCCCAGCCACGTCCCTCTCTTCTCCCCGCCGCCGCTACCTGCATGGTGGGGTTCACGCTGTGGTTGCGGCAGCTACCGCGGTCGCGGGTGCCATTGTAGCCGAGGTCAGCACTGAAGCGGTACCATAGATACTGCGTGGTGAGCGGGCCCTGCAGGACCAAGGCGAAGTTGGCAAGGAAGACGAGCGGCTCCACGGGGCCACGGCACAGCACCTTAGCCGCGGGATGGACATGGGGTTCGCCCAGGGGGCTCGGGCGCCCCTCCATGCGCGTGCACGTCAGGGGTGCTGCGAGGCGAACCGCGGGGCTTTCTGCGCTTGCGTCCGAAGTATATTTTTAAAAGTCTGACTGGGCGGGGCCAGAGCCTCTGTCTACTCACTTTCGCCCCGCCCGGTCTGAGCTAGCGAGGGACTCCGCATCCTAGCTTCCTGGGTGACTTCACCTGCAAACTGTGCAAGCATATCGCCCTGCAGCCCTCCTTCCCAGGCCCAGAAACATTCATAAAATAATAAGAATATCAGTACTTAATATTTACTGGTCGTTCATTGTGTGCTGGGCACTGTACTAAACTCTGAGCGCATTTATCTCCCAACAACCCTATAGGCTAGCCACTATTGATGATCCCAATCTAAGATGAGGGGACAAGGACTTTGGGCCCTCAAGGCCCAGCTGGAAGAACACATGACTTCTGATGCCTATGCTGATATTCTGGGCTGTAACTCAGTGGTAACAGTGCAGCCTAGAGTTTTATTTATTGCCTCGGTTCCATTACAAAGGCTCTGCTGCTATTTTGGACGTACCACTCACCTCCCTGTGTCTCATTTTTCTTCATCTTTAAAATGGGGGTGCTAATAGAACCTGCCTCAAAGAGTTGCTGTGAAAGAACGGTGTCTGGTGCATCGTAAGTGCTATTATTGTTACTAATAGGCTGTCACTTGCTCCATTCCTGCCCTAGGATCTTTTTTGGGGAAACTAGTCTTGTTTCTGGGGCTGGGGCCCGGCTCTGCGGTGCCTTTGGAAGGGCAGAGGAGGCTGAGGGGATGGTAAAGGGCTTTGGAGGCCGTTCGGTGTGGCCCTATGCTCCTCGGTGCTCCTACTATAGGAATTGGGCCAGAAGGCAGTCAGACCTACCGCCTGGGCCTGTTTTATTGCCTATAAAAGGGAACAGCATTACCTGCCTTTCTCCCTTATTTACTCATTTATTGATGCATTTATTGAGCACCCCTGTGTGTCAGGGACCGAGCTGGGGAACCTCGGGGGACACAGCAGTGATAAAAACAAAGCCTTTACCAGGCCCTGTAGTTTCTATAATAGGGAGACATCAAAGAATCCTATTGATCTATGTAAGATTTCGACTGTGGCAAGTGCTTTAAGGAGGGGAGCTGTGGGACTCCGAGTGTGCTAATTCAGGGACCTGGCCTGGTCTGGGAGGAGCAGAACCAGGGAAGGCTGCCTTCCCTGGCAATAGGGCAGCTGAATGGATTTCTGGAGGTTCGCCCTGTGCCATGACCCACAGATCTGATTTTTGGGGTGATGGGGGCTCCATGGGGGCTCTGGCCACCATGACTGTGTTTGGGCTTGTTGCTGGCTTTTTGACAATCCCCCACCTTCCCTGAGCCATAAAGAGTCCAAGGCTCAGAATAAGTAGATGCTGGCTATTTACTGGTGGACTGAATGAGAGCCACACTCCCACACGACCACCACCACCCTGTGGTCTTCCTAGAGATAGGAAATTTCACAGTAAATATAAGAGACCCTGGATTGGCTCCTGCCCCTCACCACCACCTACACAAAAGCTTGGCCCAGTTAGGTCAGCTACAGTGAGGGAGGGGTACCCAGCTGAAACCTTAGAATTATTTCCTAGATAAAGAACTAAGACTGAGAGACTTAAGGCCAAGGTCCGTCATCTGGGAAAGGGACAGGATGTGACTCATTTCAGAGCTGGAGCCTTCAGTGTCCACTAGACTAGATGGCTCTCCTGACTCCTTTAAAAACCTAGCTATGATCAGGTCACTGCTCTGCTCAAAACAATCTAATGATTTCCATTTCATTCAGTGAAAGCCAAGTCATTATGAAGGCCCTAAAACCATGTGCCGTCTCTTACCCTTTCCCCTACTCTGTCCCTTCTGCTCTAGCCACCCTGGCCTCCTTGGTCCCCCTCCAACTTGTCCAACAGCCTCTCCTGCCTCAGGGTTTTTGCAGGAATGCTATTGCTTCTAACTGGAATGCTCTTCTTCCAGATAGCCACCTGATTGGCTCTCTTACTTCCTTCAAGTCTCTGCTAAAATGTCACCTGATCCTTCTCTATGTAATCGCAAGTCCCCTCCCCCATCCCCTGGCACTCCCTAACCCCTTACCTCAGTTTGTTTTTTCCATGGTATTTATCACCATCAGCATTATTATAACTTTCTTGTTTGTTTGTTATCTGTCTCTCTTTACTAGAAGTGATGGCAGGACCTTTGTTTTCTTCACTACTGTATTGCCAGCACCTAGAATAATGCCTGGCACATGGTAGATGCTCAGAAGGTGGTAGTCAAAGGCCTAAATGAACCCACCAAGGAGAAGTGTTCTCTGGCTGGAGCCCCAGAGCACACGGAGAGCGTTGCCTGTGTGGAACTACCCTGTGGAGTCCAGAGTCCAAAAATCTATACCTAGAAGGAAGCGGAGAGATCACATCTTTGCCTACCCACCCTTTTTTTTTTTTTTTAGTATCTTTTTTTTTTTNCATGTCTTGGCTTATTGCAAATAATTCTGCAATGAACATAGGGTATGGATATCTCTTTGAGATAGTGGTTTCATTTCCTTCAGATATATACCTGGGAGAGGAATTGCTGCCAAGATTCTTAATTCTTGACCATGTTTGCAGGTGTAGTTTGCCACTGCCAGTAGCTGTCCCTCCTGTCCCCACCTCTCACAATGTCCCTCTCCCTCAAGGTACAGGTATAAATGTGGGGCTTGTACATTCTCAGAGAGAGGAAGATGAGCTTCCCATAATTAAAAGCATCTATTGGGTCTTCTAAACATTAACAACACTGAGCAAATACTGTGACTCCCTTTCTTTTTGAATGTGTATCTGAATCTTCTTTCAGATATATAATTTACCTGTGCACTATAATTCCTCTTGTTTTCAAAATGTATATTTGAATCTCTTTTTAAGTATACATTTTATTTTATTTCCTGTGTTTTCAAAGGGTGGACTTGAATAACTTTCCGAATATAAAAGTTCAGACTATTAAGTTCACGAACTTTCCACTATGCACTTACATCGTGGAAAGTTCACGAACTTAATTGCCTGATCTTCTCATATACTTTAAGAATGTTAATTTTGAGTACAAGGATGTGGAATTTCTGGAAAGGTAGCAGTGGTGTGGAGAGATCTTGGAAGAGCCCCGTGAATAAAAGAGAACCTGTAAAAACTGATATGAGCAATCATCCAGCTTCTGGATAGTGGAATCTCCCTCCATTTTTTCCCCATATTCATACTTTTCTTTAGAAAACACAAAAGTCATATGACAAAAAAAATAATAATGATAAAGAAATGTCGGTGAACCAAATGTAGCAAGAATAATAATAGTAGTTAATGATTAATGAGTATTTACCATGTGCCAAACACAGAAATATTTCAACTAATCCTAATAAAACTTTGCAAGGTAGTTATTATCATTCTCATTTACAGAGGGGGAGACCAAGGCTTTTAGAGGTTGAGTGACTTATTAAAGGTCCTGTGTCTAATTAAAGGTCAGAGTCAGGGCTAGAACTCCATCTGTCTGTTTCCAAAGCCAGACTTCTCATCCCTGCCTTCTGCTGCCTCCTAGGTCTGTAGATCTTTTGAAGAATAGCCAGCTCATTACAGAACGCTTTCTCAAGCAAAAAAAACTTGTATTCAATGTCCTCTTGAAAATTTTCAAGAAAAGTCACTAAAGCCCATTCACATCACAATCTCCTACTCAATTTTCTACGAAACCCCTGTTGAAAAGTCAGCATTAACAAAAACTCATAGACATAGACAATAGTTTAGTGGTTACCAGAGGGTAAGGGGGGAGGGGGTGGTAGATGAGGGTAAACAGGATCAAATATATGGTGATGGAAGGAGAAATGACTCTGGGTGGTGAACACACAATGTAATATACAGATGATGTATTACAGAATTGCACACTTAAAACCTATGTAACTTTACTAACCATTGTCATCCCAATAAACTTTAGTTAGAAAAAAAAGCGTTAGCAAGCCCTTGTTCCCAACCTTACAATGAATTTCTCCTGTCTCCTAAATAAGATAAAAAAATGAGAATTGGGTGGTAAGAAATTACCCTAGACACTTAATTTTTATTGTTGCTGCCATTTGATCCATCTTCAACTTCTTTATGATTATGAAAATGTTCAAACACACACAAAATAGAGTGGTGCAATGACCCCCCTTTGCTCATCACTAAATTCAACAATTATCAAAATCTTGCTGCAGATTCATCTGTTTTTGTCCTTTACTGAAGGATTTTAAAACAAATTCCAGACATTATGATGATCTGTCATTTCATCCCATATTTTACATTTCTAAAATATATAGACATTTTCTCACATAAACACAATGTTATTATCACACCTTAAAATTTAACAGCAATTCTTTGACACAATCTAATACTGGGTATTCAATAACTGTTTCCAAAAATATATTTTTATGACTGATGTTTGAATTAGACTTCAAACAAGTATACCTAATGCATGTTAAGGGTATGTTGTGGCTCTTAAATCTTTTTTGCTCTAGAACAGTCTCTCCATTCACCATCATCCCCCATGTCAGCTTTTTTTTCCCCATGTCTCTGACTTGTTGAAAAATCAGTGTTTTAATGTTTCCTTCCAAAATCACGTATACTCGTACGTTGAAAAATACTGAGTCGTAAAAAAATACCCATTGACTTTTATGTAATAAATAGGATTTTATAGCATTTATGAGCTCTAGGAATGGACGCCATCATGTGACATGTGAATCATTTCTCAGCTTGCATATCTTTAACCTCCACAGTATGTAAAAAATAAGGTAATGCCTGTAGTGAGAAAATGTGTCAACTGAAAAGAGTGACCCAAAATAGGATGGGGGAGCTGTGCAGAAAATGGAGATCAAAGGGAAAGATGAAACTTGGTAACTTATGTACTCCAGGGTGAGAGGGGTTGACATGAGAAATCACTTCACAGGCAACGTGGATACATCACGTGGATACATACAGCAGTCCTTGCCAGAAGGTAGTTCACAGTCATGATAAATAGCTTTACATTCTCCCCACACACCCACACCGACACATACCTTTATTGCTTTCATCCTCTGGTGACCTCTGATGACCCTTCCAGCC